GATTACTTAGTATTAGTAAATTCTGCCCCTACTCGCTTTACCGCGAGTAAGGGCATGTCTAGTAAACAGTGAGCAGCAAGATGTAGCCACAGCACGAATAGGATCAGAGTTTCATTCTAATGAAATTCCGATACGAACAAAGTCCTGAATTGCGTTCTAAAACGAATGGAGAAACTGTTCTCATTCTGTTAGGATGCAATTTGTCAGTTTTGTCGGCGTTCTGTCTAAGTGACAGGACGTTCGGCAATACTGACAGGAGGCATTGTGGGAACAGGGAGGAAAGCTAAGGATCATGGGAAAATTTCTCCTACCACCGGCAAAGAAGTACACTTTGCTCCTCCGCTGGTCATAGCTGGTCATGGCGTAGGAAACCTCCAGAAGAGAAATAGCAGACAGGAAGAAATAAAGAACAGATCCTGAGAGAGGGAGAGAAGAGGAATCGATTGGGGAAAGGTAAGTTCGGCATGACAGTGCCACTATAATTACTGGAGAAGGAAAAAAAAATGGACCACGTGTTCCCACATAAAGTAAGAAGCAAGAAGTAATTAAACAATTAACAATAACCCTTCTCCTTCACAAATATTATTATTATTATTATTATGATATTTATATAGCGCCATCAAATTCCCCAGCGCTTTACAATGGGTGGACGAACAGACATGTAGTTAGAACCAGACAAGTTGGACACACAGGAACAGAGGGGTTGAGGGCCCTGCTCAACGAGCTTACATGCTAGAAGGAGTGGGGTAAAATGACACAAAAAGGTAAGGATAGTATTAGACTAGTGACATTTGCAGAAGAGGAATCGGTGAGGAGCTATTAACAGTTTAATTGATACGCTTTTATGAAGAAGTGGGTTTTTAATGATTTTTTGAAGGAGTGGAGACTGGGTGAGCATCTAACGGAGGAGGGAAACAAGTTCCACAGGAACGGTGCAGCCCTCAAGAAATCTTGAAGGCGAGCATCAGAGGTGGGAGTATGGACAGAAGATAGACGTAAGTCTTCAGCAGATCGTAAGGGCCTAGACGGGACATACTTTTGTATAAGGGAGGATAGATAGGTGGGAGCAGCATTATGTAGCGATTTGAAAGCAAGAACCAGAATTTTAAATTGAGCTCTATATTTTATAGGAAGCCAATGTAGGGACTGACAGAAGGGTGAGGCTTGGGAGGTGCGGGCGGACAGGAAGATGAGCCTCGCCGCCGCATTCATTAAGGACTGTAACGGCGCAAGTTGGGAGCACATAAGACCACTGAGAAGCGGATTACAGTAGTCAAGGCGATAATGGACAGTGAAATGGACCAACACCTTAGTCGCATCTGGTGTTAAGTAGGGGCGGATGCGCGCAATGTTTTTGAGATGGAAATGACAGGATTTGGCGATAGATTGAACATGAGGCTTGAAGGAGAGGACGGAGTCAAAGAGAACACCTAGGCAGCGAGCCTGCATGGTGGAGCTGATGGTAGCACCATTGACCTGGAGGGAGACAGACACTGGAGTAACAACACTTGAGGGAGGAAAGACCAAAATTTCAGTTTAGTTTAAGGAAGTGGGCAGCTATCCAGTTAGAAACAGCAGAGAGGCAGTCAGATACACTAGTCAAGAGGGACGGGGAGACATCAGGAGAGGACAGGTAGATTTGCGTGTCATCTGCATATAAATGATATTGGAAGCCAAAGGAGCTAATGAGTTTACCAAGGGAGGCAGTATAAATGGAGAACAGTAGGGGACCAAGTACTGAACCTTGGGGGACACCAACAGAGAGGAGCTGGGGAGAAGAAGCAGAGCCAGGGAAAGAAACACTGAAAGATCTCTATCTCTATCTCTATCTCTGCGCCGTGATTGGATGTATCATGGACGCCATTCACCAATCATCTCCCCTCTATGGGGTATTTCAATTTGAACTAGCAGCATTTTTAATTACCAATTGATAAAGCCGAATTATGCAGGCGAAACGCGTCTTGGACTCATCACCAGCACTTAAGTATATTGATTTTATTTTTTTATAGTATATGTTACTTTTTTATAAAGAAGTCTGGTGAAACATCTATGCTGCTTAAAGAAGGGCTGTGTCACTCTAATTTGACACAATATCCACATACTTGGATCCCAGTTAAATGCTCCTGACAAGGTGAAAAGCCAATTTTTATTTATATTCTGCACTTTATTACATCAAGGATTTCTGCACCAGGGTCAGGATTGCTTCCCTGTTCTCTCCATTTTTTTGTCTCTATTTTGAGGTTTTCGCCTAATATGGACGTTTAGGGTGTGTGTCACCTTAAGGACACAAAAGCAGATTAGATCAGAGCCGGCCCTTAAGAGGCTCTAGACCATGTGAGTAAATCCAGTATAAGATATTTCTCTCACCACTATACCGATCATATTGCAACATATTTTATATATTTTATTTTCAGGTATTTCCCACCCATTGCCTATATCTCCTGAGAATTCCAGGAGTAAGTGTTCGTTTATTTGTTAAAGCGCTACACACTTTTCACCATTTATTTGCAAAATAGCGTTTTTTTTTTTTTTTTACACATTCCAGTTCTTTCAAGACCTGGCCCCCAGCACATTACAGAAAAGGAGAGCACTCCGACCGCTAACAATAGCTCTGACGCAACAGAGAATGCGGTACGCATGGGATCACTCTTTTAAATTAATGGTCTGCAAAGATGACAGAATGTATGTCCTACATGACATTTCAGAAGCACACGATTTCGCAGAGCAACTAGGCCTCTCACACATTGACATGGCCCCACGACAGAGACCCCGCGAGGACCGGAATGCACCATCCTCACAATGAAGACCATCTAGACGAGAACCCTACAAACCATAAAGAACAGACACCAGGACTCCCCCAACCCCACAGATGGACTGCAATGTACTGTACGGACTCACTCGCCTAATTAACAGCAACCCTGACACCAAGTCTACTCATAACCCTGGACAGAACCTGACAAAACCCAGAAAGCAGATCATAAAGACAAGCTTCAATACCAGGGAGAACGCAAGTATAACCCCCCACAGCTATGCCCCCCCTAGACATTGGCTAACACCTTGTACCCCAATCCCCGCATGATCCCCTAAAAGGAACTGCCATTAAACCATGCCACTTGGAGTGGCCCAGTGGGGGGCACACAAGGCGGTCCACGCTGCACCCAGAAGGACGCTTAATGCAAAACTTTAAGGCTCAAAGACTATAATATCGGGGGTGGGGAGCAGGAAACACAAGTCTCCCTAGGCAGCCAATGCTTCTATAATCCAATACTCTATTGGGGGGGAAAAGGGCAATACAGAAAGATGTAATTAACTGTGGACACTTAGGAAAAAGTAAACGACACCGAAAATATGTGGATAGGATAGGGCGCCCGGGCCACTCCCTCCCCTGTCCCACCCGGACCTAGGTTCAGGGATGAGGGGGTCCTCGGGCGCAGGTGAAAAGACAGACGCAGCGCAGATGTAGCCAGGAATGGATTGGGGCTCGGGGGTGGCCCCTTGGGCCTTGCGGCCACGCCGGGTTGAGTCCTGGTGTAGGCACATGGTGGTGGGGGTGCCGTGCTCCCGACCCTACTTGAGACTAGTTCTGGCCAGCCCCCACCCCTATGGGAGCAACGGGCACAAAATGTGCACATCCCCTCAAATAGACAGGTATGAAAACAGACTGGGGAACATCCCGGATCCCCGGACCATCAGACTTAAATACTGCAACAAAACGACACAGCGATAAACCCAAATCACAGTGAAGAGACTCCAGACCGACGAACACTAGACCTAATGGAGAAGAGACAGAAACGAGAACAGACTGCCCGACACACCACTCGAACACCCTAGCTAACTCGGACAGGCAGAAATGACAGCTCTCCCTCCCCTCATAACCCTGCTCAGACAGCAGTCCGTAAGGTGGAATGGGAACTTTGACTAACTGGTGTCCTCATAGCTAAAATTGAATGTTTACATGTTATTAAGATAAATGCAAATGTTGAATGTCCACCCTTGCTAAACTGCAGGATGGTAATACCTAGAGACAGAGACCCCGAAACACTTAAAGAACCCGGTCCACGCCTCCCCTTTCCCCTCGCACCAGACTGGGGGGCAGGGCTGTGGGATGCGGGGGCTACGGACGAATGTTGAAACGGGTCATCGCCCGACTGCGAACAACCTCCCAGAAGGTTACCACCTACACTCCCCACACTCACTGCCCGCTCACGAAAACCACCTCCACCCACACTTGGAGAAGAGCGGTCAGACGACAGGACCCACATCTTACTGGCATAGTCTGTAAGCCCAATAACCCCAACCTTCCCGCCCCGGCCATCACTTTCCCCACTCATCTCTCCCTTACCTCCTACCCCCTCTCCCCCCCCCACATCCTACTTCGCCCAAAAGGCACACACGCAACCAAATATAACTCCAACACCAAAAAGATCAAAATGCCAATACAGATTAAATGCATGTCGCTCAATACCAAGGGACTCAACTCACCCAGGAAAAGGCACACATTTCTTAGGTAGGCACATAGACAACGAGCTGATATACTCATGATTCAGGAAACTCACTTCACAGTACAAAAACACTTCCCTCTGACCAACCGCTACTATAAACAGAGTTTCAAGGCAAACTCACCAGACACGAAAACAAAAGGAGTAGCTATTTTACTAAAAATATCATGCTCACTGACGGACATCACCGCAACCACAGATCCACAAGGCAGGTATGTGACTATCACAGGGAAGATAGGCACCCACAAATACTCCTTTTGTTCCCTATATGCCCCCACTACACCAGACTCCACTTTCTGGAAACAATTCTCTACCCACCTCAAGTCACAACCAATACCCGCCTCATTAAAGGGGGAGACTGCAACGCTGTACAGTGCGCAACACTAGATAGAACATCTCAAACGCAAGGACCAACTAAACCATCCAGATGTGACACGCTATTCCAGCACTTCCTAGCCACAGAGAACCTGATAGACATCTGGAGAGCACAGCACCCCTCCACCAAGGTCTACACGTTTTATTCCCACCCCCACCAGACTTACTCACGGATATACCACTTTCTAGCAACTCCCAACACCATATCGCAAATCACCACCTCCACCATAGGTTCGATAACTTGGTCGGACCACGCCGACATATTCCTGACACTGACTATACCAAATAACTGCAGAAGACACACCTCTCGTTTCCCCACGGACCCACCCACAAGCAATACTGATGGTGCCCCTCCACGGACTGGTGAGGGCATATTCCTAGTGGGGCAAGTCCTGCTCAGATGACCAATCTGGTTGCATCGAAAACAACGGCGGGCATCTGACTCACTTGACATAGCCCCGGCTACGCTGGCAGTCGGCGGTGAAGTTCTCACTGCAGATCTTACAGGTGGTGATTGAACTGTAGCTTCTCTCCAGGTCGAAGTAGCAGCTGACACAAGTCCACGCCTGGATGTGGGTGCATGGATGTCGGCATAGTCATCTGCCAGTTCTGCAGCAGCCCTAGCATTTTTTGGCTTTCTTTCCAAAATCCACTCTCGTACATTAGGGCTCCGGGTCTGCAAGAACTGCTCCAGGACCATTAAGTCATTAAGGGCTTCATAGGTAGTAGCTTGTACTCCTGTTACCCATTGCCGGAACGTGGTTTCTAATTGTGCAATATATAGAATGCAGCTGGATGATGGGCATTGCTGCATACTCCTAAACTTTTTCCTGTAAGACTCAGGAGTAAGGTTAAAAGTTTTTTGCAATGCAGATTTGATTGCCTCATAGTTGTTATCAGTCTCTGGGGGAAGGGACACAAACACATCCAAGGCTTTCCCTTTCAGTTGTGGAGTTAAATATCTGCCCCACTGGTCTGAGGGTAGTTGATGCTGCCTGCATACTTTCTCAAAACTTTTTAAAAATACATCCAAATCTGTCCCTTCTTCGAGGGAAGGAAAATCATCCTTACAGAGCCTACGTGTGCTGGACTCTGATGCATTGCTGTTCAGTGAGGACTGAAGGGTAAATTGCAGTTTAGCAAGTTCCAGCTCATGTCTCCTTTGTGCCTCCCTTTCGGCTAGCCTCTCTGCAGATTCCCTTTCTGCAGCCTGCTGTTGGATCATAACATGCAGGGCCTCCTGAGGATTTGCAGCCATCAGTTGCCGAAATAAATCAGTTGAGCAAATGTCCTTAATGTTTTGAGGGGTACAACCACCAGGCATTTCAGTAAGCAACACTCCTGCAGTAGTAGGGAGCTTGGTAACCCTTTCAGTGTCCGTCTCTGGCTGGAAAATATGGCTGTCCGCCTCCACAAGGTCAGCAATAAGTTGTGCCTTATTTTTGCCAAAAGTTGGTAAATTCTTTTCTTGGCACAACAATTCCAAGGCCTCTTTTGATTGTTTGCGATAGGCCTCCATATTCACAAATAGGATAGAGAAAGAAAAACAAAAGATGGGAGGGGAGAACTGTTTTGCACTTTGTATGTATTTTAAATCAGCACTGAGCTTGGTCTTTGGAAATTACACAAAAACAAGTATGCAATTTCTTTTAGTGCTAAGACCCCCTTTACAGGTAAAATCTAGCAAGCACTAAAAATCTCTAAATATATCCCACTAGCTGCCGCCAGTTTGTCACGTGCGTGGGCTATAGGCCCAGCCGAGACAGTGGGGAGAGTGTGGAAGTGACAGGGTTAATGACACCAGACCCCTGGTTACCTGTTGCTAGTCCCAGCAACCACTCAATTAACCCCTGCAATCCCTTCTACACTATCCCCCTTAGTACTACTGCCACCACCAAGACTTTTAAACCCGGGCGTCTTAGGTTACCCCACACACAGGAGAATTATAGTATCACAGTTCTACTTTTACTGATAAAACATATATAGTTAACCCCTTTTGGTAACGTGTTTACCTGAGCTTTCCTCTGGAGAGTGAAGCTCATAGAGAACAGAGACACAAGCTGATTAAGTAAACATTTAATCTGACCAAAAGGATTCACAGTGCTGAGTACAAAATACAGAAATAAATGACATACAGAAAACAAATTGCAAAACAGTACATAAAATAAAATAGGAGAAAACACAAGAAATTCCTTACATATATTTACCCCATATAGAATTCTTGTGGGAGTCTTAGATGGTATAGGTCTCCTAGAAGTTACTGACAAAAGAAAAATGAATAACTGACTTCCCTGGATAGTCCAACACCCTCATATATCTAAACTAGTTGTTTCTCAGTGGGCAGACCCCTGGGGGGGGATCAGAGGGGGTTGGTCTGGCAGTCTATTGCCCACTCTATGAAATTCCTTGTGTCCAGCTCTGGTGATGGCTATCTAGATGTTTTATGGTCTAGGCCTGGTGCAAGATCAAAGACCACAATAAATGTCATCCCAAGGTTTACAAAAAACAACTCTTAACATATATAAACACACATCAAACACCAACTCATGCTTTTGGCATGACATGTGTACTTTGTCTTTAAGAGATATTACAAACTGACAAGGTGTTAGAAATGTTTTTTCATAGATGTTTCTTTAAGCAATAACCTCAGTGCATATTATGTTTACGCCATTTTGTCCCAGACGAATTACAATAACAATAATGCATAAACAAGCTTCAAGGCTATGCTACGACTCTTTCAGTACGTAATATACTGTGGTAACCTTAGTAGATAAGGATGTCCAGACTTTAAGATGCCATCTTGAACTAAGTCAGGAAAATTTCCATGACGTATGCACCCTTTAGTAATTGCCTTGTATGTTTGCCAAGTTAAGGGAGGTCCTAAAATGAATAAAGCAAAAGAAGTGTTACTTTTTCATAAATGAACTACGGTAACCCTAAAATGGAGACACCTAAGGTATAAAGGTGTACTTTTAAACAGAGGAAAGACTTGGAGACAGACGTTGCTCCATCTTAAAATGACAGAGAGGCTGACACGATGACATGTTCAGAAGGGTATGTTAACCTATTAATGATATTTGCAAGCATTTAATTTAATCTTATAAACTCTGCTATAATGGATTTTATATGTCTATTTATATTTTTATATAATAAATATCTAAAAGACAAAACTATTGCTTTCAAGACAATCCTTATTTTATATTGCATTCTCAATTATTTATATATGTTAAATAGAGGATCTCTTACTAACTATATAAAATTATGGCTAAGATATCTGTACGGTTAGCCCTGCTACGTTCTATGCTTTAAGACATTATAGTGGTAAATAAGGGAACTATAAACGGCACACAAAGAATTACAACAGAGAACAGGAGCAGAGGAAACTCCAGTGCACGAGGTAGCACAGACGCTAACAAAGACCACAAATATTCAAACCTCTGGTAACATACTAAGCAATTGTAATTCATGTAACCATATATGTACACTGTTATATATGATGAAACCACCTAACACTTCCTCTTCGTTCTGTAACCCTATTCGTATAAATGAAACTGAAAAAAGATACAAATAAAGAATTTTAAAAAAGTTGTACATCTTGCTTTTCTATACTGATCCTCTCTCCCTGTTTCTTCATCCATTAACCATTTTCTCATGTTTCTCTAAAAAAATATGTTTGCAAATCTCTTATCACTAATTCCTCACTACTCCTTCCCTTTTTCCTTCATAAGTTCCTTATTTATTTTGCAGTATTTCCTTATTGTGCAAGGGTTCTCAGAAACCGGGTTATGTTGTATTTATTGTTCAGAGTAACAGAATACGTAGGTCCAAGCAGGTTATAATTCCATAATCTCTAGAGTTCTCACTGAGAATTCAACCAACAGGTATATTACAATTTTCAGGCTTATTTGCTGAAGTGAAAATTGTTGGGAATCTAAAGGGAATTTCAAATTTAAGGCCAAAATAGCTCAGTTGGAAACCTTTTTAGTTTAGTTAAATTTTTTTTTTAAATATAGTTCCTATTTAAGTAAATAACCGTGTATGTGCATGCATGTTAATTTGAATGCAAAAAAAATAAAAATATCAACGTTACCTGTCAGAATCCAGAATCTTAAGTCCATGATAAAGATGGATGTCTCTCACTTGCTAAGCATACATTAAGACTAATTCTTTGTCTTGTAAAGATAGGAAATATATTGCTTAGAACACAAAGAGGAACTGTAACTAACAGGTACCTCATGGTGCTATAAAAACTGTTTTTGGTATAACATACAGGAGAACAGAGAGTAGAATTGCTCTTCCTTATCATTCAGCCTGATCTTATAACTTCACCAGGCATATGTCTACCCATATGAGATCTAGGGAAAGTATGGACATAACTTTAAACAGAAAAATAATGATTTTAAAATCCCATTATAAGTACCTAACTACTATGCCTTTATTTTTTATTTTTATTTTTTTACAAGCTGAATGTATAGGCATCTGAGACCCTTAACCCCTTAAGGACTGGCCTGTTTTTGCGATGTTGTACGTTAAGGACCAGAGCAGTTTTGACACTTTTGTGGTGTTTGTGTTTAGCTGTAATTTTCCTCTCTCTCACTTACAGTTCCCATACAAGTTATATATTGTTTTTTTCAGGACAAGAAGGGCTTTCTTTACATACCATTATTTGTATCATGTCATATATTTTATTTAAAAAAATAAATAAAATATGGTGAAAAATTGAAAAAAAAACATGTTTTTGGACTTTTACTTGAAAAATCTTTTACTTATCTACAAAATCCCAGAATCACACCTCACATGTACATATTTTTTTAAAGTAGACAGCCCAGGTTATTCAAAATGGGGTATGTCCAGTCGTTTTTAGTAGCCACCTAGACACTGGCCAAAGTTAGCATTTATATTTGTTTGTGTGTTAAAAATGCAAAAAACTTTGGCCAGTGTTTGAGACTAAGTGGCTACTAAAAAAGGCTGAACATACCCCATTTGCAATACCTTGGGTTGTCTTCTTTTGCAAATGGTATGCCATCATGGGGCTAATTCTCATTTCTTGGCTACCATACGCTCTCAAAGGCAACCTAATTAATCTGACACATTTTAATAAAAAATAAAAAAAAAGTAAAATCAAGCCTTATATTTGACCCTGTAACTTTCACAAACACTATAAAACCTCTACATGTGGGGTACTGTTATACTCAAGAGACTTCGCTGAACACAAATATTAGTGTATCAGAACAGTAAAATGGATCACAGCAATAATATCATTAGTGAAAGTGCCGTTTGTGTGTGAAAAATGCAAAAAACGTCACTTTCCCTGACAATATCATCGCAGTGATATGTTTTACTGTTTTGAAACACTAATATTTGTGTTCAGCGAAGTCTCCCGAGTAAAACAGCCCCCACCCCCATGTACAGGTTTTAGGGTGTCATAGAAAGTTACAGGGTTAAACACAGTGCTAGCAAATTAAATTCTCTGGACTTTTGGCCTGAGTTGGCAGGCAGGTCCCTCAAATTGCGATCATTAAAATTACTTACTTAGGTAAAAATATTACATAAATCCGCACGTAGAATTTTAATATATATACATATTTATATATTTACCGTCTACGTGTATATTTATGAAATTATTTATGTAATTATGTATATGGACATAGGTATATTTTCGTATTTTTATTTATACATAGATATATATATATCATTACATTCTAAGTGTATTTTGATTTAAATATATATATATATTAATATCAAAATACTGTTAGAATAAAAATACATATATATATAATTTCTTTAATTATTAAAAATTATTTTTACTTTTTGTTATTTATTTTTAACATATTATTTATAATTTATAATAATATATACAATATATAGTTATATATATTGTGTGTATATATATATATACGTGTAATTTAAATTAAAAGTGTATTTTTATATTAATATACGTATATATAAATATAAAAATACACTTAGTATGACAATATATATTTATATATGATATATATATATATGATATATACATATATTATATATAGATATAATACATGTGTATATAATATATGTATATATATTATATATATATATATATTTTTTTTTTTACACTGATTGCTTTATTTCTTTACTTTTTTTCTGATTTTCTACTTGCAGGGAGACTGCCTGTCAGCACAGACAGTTCCCCTGCAGGCAGATACAGACACCTATTGCGGTCATGTGATCGAGTGATCACGTGGCCGCGGGGTCCTGATCTGCCGAGGGAAGACTGCCCGGGCAGATAGGCAGTCCACCTGGACCGGGAAGAGCACTGATCGCCGCCGGGGGACTGACGGCGATCAGGTAAGTAGCCCCAGACCATTATAACGGTTCAGGACCGTCATCAGGCCCCAAGGGGATTTTTCTGATGACGGTCCTGAACCGTCATCGGTCGTCAAGGGGTTAAATGCCTATATTGTCTGTAACAATTTACTCTTTTGTATCTATAAACGTTGTTGTACTTGTATCAGTGTAGTTTTTCTGTACTTG